AGCCTTCCATTCCCTAATGAGACACTCATCTGCCTGGTGTGTGCATTAAACATTCACTATGTCTGAGGAAAAAACAAAACAAAAAAACTTCTTGCTTTCTCAAGAAGATGAAAAATGAGAAAATAACAGAGCGGGAGTGACTGTTTTTCTATTTTGGTAAGGCTGGGTAAACTTATATATATAGCTACGAGACACACACACACACACACGGGGCCATAACAAATACATTCATTCAAATACAATATTTACATTCAACTTTTTTTTACTCAAATTGCATTAATTGAAAAAAAAAAAAGTTATGTAGAAGCATTTTATAGTGCTTTTAGTACATAGTCTGAAAATCACATTTTAATTTTTAACTTAATTGAAAGCAAAAGTAAGGTAGGCTTTAGTTGTTTGTTTACATATTTAAATAACCCATTGAAATGTAATGGAGATTAAGGGGGCATGATCTTGTGAATGTGAAATATAATGAAATGTGCTGATATTAATAAAGCATCTGCTAAATGACTAACTAACTAACTATATATTTTTCTAAATATATATCAAATAATTTGACAGTATCTGTGATTTTTCCTTTAAATGGGACAGGGTTATTACAGTAAAACATAAATATAAATAAATAAATAATAGAACTATATGTATAAATTAATAGAACTATAGACAACAGAAATGACAAAACTACTAAAGTACTAAATTACTAATTGTAACAATTAAAAATGGAAAATATTCAAAATATATATAGAAACTAGAATAGTATCTCAAATATACTAAAATAACACCTATAAGATACAAATCAATATACAAAAGGTGTAATGTAAATACACTTAATTTATAAATAATGTTGCGATGGGATTTTGTATGAGAGATTATACAAGGAAGAGAGAAAATCAAAAAAATAACTAGACCGTTCTGTTAAATAATTTGAAGCTATAGTTTTTGTAGCTCCATCATTTCCAGTTATTCTGAAGGAAGTGTGTAACTGATAATACAGCAGAGAGAGGTCTGGCTGCTTTCAGCTGAGGTTGTGAACATTGACTTCAGCCTCAGTCTTACTGAACTAGAGAGCAAGAGATTGTCTGTGTTGCCATAGCAACACGAGAGAAAGCTTTCTTCTTTTACTAAAAGTGCACAGCCTTGTGTTTTTATTGTTCTGAGGTGGAGGAGGCAAATTAACAGTCTCTAATTTAAAACAGCGTGCTTTCTCTATACACTTGATTAGTGTTCTAACCTTAATTGACTTTAAGGGGTCCTAAGGTGTCTTTAATCACTGCATTTATCAGTTCACCATAATTCCTGATAAAAAAAAATAGTTATGAGCAATTTTAATTTTAAAAGACTGGGGAGCTCGGTTACTGCTCTGCATTTGTCAAGCACTTTAAAGTGCAGATTTAATGACATGCTTGTCTGGAGCTGGTAATAATATCAGAGTAGAATGTGTGAACTTAAGGGTTTGTGTGTATTTAATTAGAACAAAAGAGGCTGAATGTATGAACAAATACACATAATGCATAGAAAGTGACCTACATGAGAGCTACTGTTTGCATGCAGCTAATCGCGAATGGCACGGCAATTTTGTCACAGGCTGGATTGGCACTGAAGATGTCGGCAGCTTGCCTAAGATTGATTAGACACATCAAGACAGCCACTGTTCCAGAGGGAGCAAGACGGAGAGAAATATGGATTTGTCTCCATGCTTATACCTCTTCATTTGTTTCCATTACAGCCCCCTGTCTCTGAGCCTCCTGAAAAACAGTTGCCTGACATCAGCTCTTACTGAAGTTTATGTTGCACGTTTAATATTCCTTCCTTCTAAGGCTGTTTAAAGCTGGGTTAAATAGTTGATTAATGAATGTTATATTTAATAGATGCCTGGATTGTCATAATAGATGCACTAAGGACTGGCAAACTCATGATAATGTTTTGATTTTAAATTGATTCCTTTTCACATCACGTTAACATGCATATCATTTTCTAATTAAGGTCCATATTTTTTTTTTCTGAAAAAAATATGTGTTTGTGTATTCACTGCTATTTAATACTTTTAGGCGTGCATATACAAGTAACCAGCATATTCTGAATACTAAGTAATGCATATTAATTTCTTCTGGAAATACAGGAGATCTTCACTGTTGACATTATGCTGCATTTTTTGTTATTTTGGACAATGTCCTTAAAGGTGCACTATTTACAGAACTTTGGCTTTTTATGCCATCTCTGTTTGAAACATAAAAATGTTAGTAACATGCATCAAATGAGAAATAAATAAATACATGTTTGTAACAGAAACATTTTAAATAAATAAATAAATAATAAACATTTGAAAGAGAAAATGATGCCTCAAATAAATAAATAAACAAACAAATACATTTTTGAAACTGAAAAATTACAGTAACATGCATCAAGTAAATAAATAAATGTTTGAATCAGAAAATTTATAGTAGCATGCACTACTAACTAACTAACTAATAAAATATTTGAAATGGAAAAAAATGATAGTAACAAGCATCAAATAAAATAAATAAATACATAAACAAATAAATAAATAAATAAATCCTTGAAACAGAAAAAAATATAGTAAAATGCATCAAGTAAATAAATGTTTTAAACCTAAAAATGTTAGTAACAATCAATCAATCAATCAATCATGATACTGACATTTACATATATACTGCATATTGTTTAGTCAGATCAGAAAAAGTCTTACATCAAAAAATAAACCATTATTATTATTATGATGATGCTTATTATTATTATTTATTTTTTGGTAAAAATTAGCCTCTTCCTCACTACAAAATATGTTTATTTATTGATTTTTTGACCAACCATCTGAATATAATATCACCCAGAATGACCTTTGTTTGGACGTGCATATGAATGAATGTGCAGTAACAGTGCTGTACCTTAAACTGAATATTGGCATAATCTGGTTATGGCCATTATATTAATATGTGACACCTACATAATCAGAATATAACCAAATTCTGATCAATATCAGAATAGTTTTATGCTTGTAAACACAGTCTAATGCTTTTGTAAATATAAATATGTCAGCTGATTTCTCAAAACTGGAAGCTTAATCTGATTATGGAAATCATGTCAACATGTTTACTGTATATGACATACTGTAGAAAATAAGTATATGATATTAATCTGAATATTCTTTTGCTGCAGTTAATGTTGTGAAATCAGTCACCATATAACTCATGATAAAATGTTTCAGGGATTCTTTGGACATCCTTTGACTGACACTGGCTGTGAATCTAGACTATAGTTCTGAAGTCAATCAGTAAATAAACAGCTCACTTTTTTGAAGACAAGCCAGTAACAGCACTCATTATTACTGGCTTATCTACAAAGCTCATTCAGAAACTGACGTAATTATGCACTGAGAAGATCTGGGGAAGTCACATAAATATCTTTGACATAAACTGTACATCTTAATGTTGTCAGTTTTGTGGCTTTGTGGATCTTGTGGAATTGCTGTTAACTTCTTGTTTTTGTCATGTTTAATATACAGTATGTCTTCATAAACATTTAACACATAGTGCTAACAATGCCAAAGTAATGGGTTTGATGAACCTCCATGGGTTCCTTTCTCTTTGGAGTGTTACAAGCTCTTGGTGCACAAAGAAGATCTGTAAAGTTGCAAAGACTAAAGTCTCAAATCCAAAGAGATATTCTTTATAAAAGTTAAGAGTCAGCCACGCCTACCTAAAACGGCTCGTTCTAACACGCCCCCACATGTCTACATCACGATGTGGGAAGATTTGCATAACGCCGCCCAAATGTTCACGCAAAGAAAGAAGGTGTAACTTTTATTCTCACTGTAGTATTGTTGCCGCCGCTGCCATGTCGTGAAGGCGTTGTGTGTTTCGTTGCGAAAGCGAAACGTGGCCGGACAGGGCATCACAGTATGGTGAGGGGCATAACATTTCCGTCACACGCTTGAGGTATTCGGCCAATCACAATGCACTGGATAGCTGGCCAATCACAGCACACCTCACTTTTCAGGCAGATGAGCTTTGTAAAAATAGACGCGTTTCAGAAAGGCGGGGTATAGAGGAGAAATAATAATGTACAGTATGTAGAAAAGAATGTGTTTTTTTAACCTTAAACCGCATAAACACATTTCATAACACCAAATACACAAAATAATGTTATTTTTAGCAACATCACATGCCCTTTTAAGAATTTGGACACCATTACTGATTCCAAATTACATGACAAAAGTTGTAGCTTTCCATTGATGTATGGTCTGTTAGGATAGGACAATATTTGGCCGAGATACAACTATTTGAAAATCTGGAATGTGAGGGTGCAAAAAAAAAAAAAAAAAAATACTGAGAAAATCGGCTTTAAAGTTGTCCAAATGAAGTTCGTAGCATTGCATATTATTAATAAAAAAATTAAGTTTTGATATAGTCACAGTAGGAAATTTACAAAATATCTTCATGGAACAAGATCTTTATTTAATATCCTAATGATTTTTGGCATAAAAGAAAAATAGATAATTTTGACCCATACAATGTACTGTTGGCTATTGCTACAAATATACCTGTGCTACTTATGACTGGTTTTGTGCTCCAGGGTCACACATAATCAGACTACTTTTAGATTACTTTTAGATTACTTTTAGATTACTTTTAGATTACATTCATCACATTGATTGAAACAGGATAATCTATTGATATAAAAATACAAAGAGTAAGAAAATATATTCCATTCATTGTTGTTAACAACATGAAGTGCATTGGTTTCCCAAACTGAGGCTTGCAAAGGAACTGCAGGGGGTTTGTGAGTTTAATGAAAAGCTAATAATTAATTAAAGTCTAAACATGTAAAATTAAAATAAATCATTTTTAAAATAACAATCAAAATAAAACACTTAACATACAAAAATAAACATTGTATTTGTTTACTTGCATGTCATGTGACCATTAACCAACGTCAGAGAACCGTCACGTGAACATGCGAATGTGATGTGATTAATAATTCCTGCTTTACATGTAAATAAGAAATAACCTGAATTTGTGCATTTTAATGTTTCAAAAACAGAAGCCTTCCAAAGACAGTCATACACGGGTAAATAACACACTGAGTGATAATTCAAATAAAAATGTATGTGTTCATCAGTAGTTGATGCAATGGTGAATCACTTTTTAAACCGGAAATTATTTTTGTAAATTCAGACTTGAATCTATAGCATCCATGTTCCCATGAATTTTAGTGGTAACATAGAAGAACCATTTTCAGTTCCCCAAAGAACCTTTCATTGAACAGTTCTTATAAGGACCATGTTTTTCATAGTGTGAAGAACATTTTTAATAATCTAAAGAACACTTTATCCACAATAAAGAACCTTTTGTGCAATTTAAAGATTCCATAGATGTTCTAGGTTCTTTATGGAACCACTGGTTTGGCATGAGTTCACTAAGCTGCAAGTGAAGAACTGGTTAAAAGGGTTTTGATTCAGTAATAATGAATGAAAGGTATCAGTTGTCTCACACATTAAGTCCATTATGTGCTTCAGAACGCAGACATATCGTCACCGTTCACAAATTCCACTGCGTGAGCCATCAAAATGACTGATGTTAAATGCCCTGTCTTTGTGTGGATAACATCCCATTGAGTTGCTTTGATCCTGCTGCATATGAATTACAGTAATCGCAAATCAAAAACGTGCTCTCCACCAGCCAAATATTGACTGTGTTGCTCTCAGTTGTGAAGGACGGGATATAATTGTGTCAGTCTTGCTTGTGCGTCTCAACAAGGGATGTGGTGAGTGACAGCTTAATACAGCCAACACTTCCATTGTCAGCAGATGAGCGTTTGGAACAGTGATACAAAGCCGAGGCAGGACACGTTATTCACTGCGGGACACTTACCAGTGAATAACTACCCCACAATGGCATTTACTGTCCCCTGACAAATATTTACACTGATTCAAAGCTGTGCTCGAAGGCCAGAAGAAATTAGTTGAAAATGTAATGTGATATTCAGAGACTTTGCCAGTTGGGATTTTGCGTATTAGCCGTTTTGGACATGTCTTAATAAGACATCAATCAGATGCAGTGAATTTATACACCAATCACATTCTTGAACTAACAATATCCGTTATACGATTTTTCCTGTCTTGGAAAGTGAAGGGAGCTCCAGTACTTTGATTCCAGTAGACCTGATGTTATTTCTATCTTCTGTTTAGTCACATGTTTCTGTGCCAAACATGATGAAATCCAGTACTTGAAGTTTGCGCTCCAACTTGTATGGAAATTGTTAACTGTTTCTGTGAACTCTGGCAGTATGTTTTTCGACAGGCCTCATTTATAAGTTATCCATCCAGGAAAAACAGACTTGTGATCTTAAAACTTTTAGAGATAAAGTAGAATATTTTGTTGCTATGGCTACCTGCCGCACACAGCACCAAGTCTCCAGGGCTTTGCAACGTAAGAGATTGTCGGTAAGAACAATGGCTTGAACTTTTGGTAGTAATTGCTTCACGCTCTGCTCTCAGGAGGCGTTAAGGTGAAATCCTTCAGTATCATCTCTGAGCTTCTCCATTAGAGTCTCAGGCGATGACCTTCACTTCATATTTTCCAGCGGTACAAACAAGACCTTGAGCTTCACACTCTTTCAACAAATTAAAGGAAAAACTGCTGTTCGCTTCTGATGTGAGCTACAGTTACTCCAGGGTCACATTTGATCGTAGCACTTGCATTCACCAAAGAGAAATATTGAGTTTGGCTGCAAGCACAACAGTCGTTTTGTTTGTGTTTGTAGAGCAAAGCCAATATTTCATCCAAGAGTATTCTGAGTCTAGTTGGAATGCCAGAACCTATTTATGTTGGTTGCGCATGCGGCCCCCTGCTTTGTAACAAACCAACTAAAAAGCCTCGATGCCATGTAGCTCAATGTTCAGATACTCGTTCAGCTGGACGCAGGCCTTTTGGAGTCATTTGAAATGTTCTTGTTGCCTGTCACTGGCATCAGAGATGATTCTTCAAGAACTGCTACTTTAGAATTAGAAATTAACTTTATTCCATTGCCAGTCAATACAATGATCTAAAGTGAAAGCGTTCAAAGCAACAGTTTGCAACATAATTGGCTTTGATTATTATGATCTACTGTAGAACTGCAAATGAAAAGCAAATATTAAACAAGTAAACTTAAGATTCATTTATAAATGAACAGTTATGACATTGATTTTAATATCACACCTCAGCATCTTCAGTGACATCAGTGAGTAAAGGGTAAAGCTGATGTCACTTCTCAATCATGGCCGGTTTGAGTGCATAAAGTGAGCAGTGGGGGGCACTGTTACAGTTACAGACACTCACACTTCCCTTCCTCACATATTATCACATTCATCCTACAGGAAAGATGGTCAAATGCTTTTTAGCTGGTTGGTACAATCAATCAATCAATCCATCCATCCATCCATCCATCCATCCATCCATCCATCCATCCATCCATCCATCCATCCATCCATCCATCAATCAATCAATCAATCAATCAATCAATCAATCAATCAATCCACCAACCAAATCAATCAATCAATCCACCAACCAAATCAATCAATCCACCAACCAAATCAATCAATCAATCAATTTGTCTGTCTGTCTGTCTGATATAGAAAAGCCTACTTTTATTAATAATTGAATGATAATAAATTTGACTGAAACTGCCAAAAATTATAATAAAGTTATTAAAGTCATTAGAAACAAATGTGGATCTATTCTTTATTATACTGTCACTGTATTTATTATTTATATTTCATTATTATTTATTTATTTTCTGTCACCAGTTTCTCTGAAAATGTAATTAAATTACTGATTACTCCTTTTAAAAGTAATCACGTTACTGTTCTGATTACATTATTTCAAATGTAATTAGTTACATTATTAGTTACGTTACTTTTTTTCTGTGACTACATCCATGAAATTTACACGAAACTCCTTATAAATATGTGTTATTAAAGCATCAACATTCATTCATTATTTTTAACTAAAGGAAGCATAGGCTGCTGCGTACATGGTTTGGCATGGCAGAATGTCAGCAAAGAGCGCTGCTTTTATAATCTCTAAAAATATGACATCAGTTCATCGCAATCTCACAAATCTCTGTTATAACACAATGAATATATGCATAATGAATCTTTCATAATGTCTACAATTCGTGTGTTATAATGAGAGGATTCATGAGCACGCACATTTCAGCACTGCACTCCTGACTGGCCATTGTGTTCCAGAAATCAACATTGCTCAACGCAGTGTTATAGCCTAACTAGAAACTCTGCCTACGCTTGCGCCTGTTAATCTTTTTTAATTGTTATATTAGTTCTTGTTGCTTTTGTGCAATAGATGAATAGCAATTCATTTGTTTTAGATATTTCTATTTTGTGGGAGTCCTGTGAATCAGTTTATTCTCCCGCATCCCGCACACACATGAGTGTCTACCCGCCCACACCCGCAACGGCACTCGCCCATCTTGTCCCACGCCACACTGTTACGTCGGGTCACACGGGAGTTCAAGTCTCTAATCCACTGGCACTGGACTCGACAGTGCGTGTGGTACATCCCCGCATCCCGCACACACATGAGTGTCTACCCGCCCGCACCCGCAACTGCACTCGCCCATCTTGTCCCACGCCACACTGTTACGTCGGGTCACACGGGAGTTCAAGTCTCTAATCCACTGGCACTGGACTCGACAGTGCGTGTGGTACATCCTTTTTACAATCTATATTATAAAACATTGCATTCTGTCAGCAATGTAGCGCGGCAGTAACGTATAGAGACCTCGCCTTGTAACTATACTCAAATTACTATTTTGAAAATTATAACACGTTAAATTACTCAGTTACTAAAAAAGTAATCAAATTACAGTAACGCGTTACTAAGTAATGCATTACTGCCCAACACTGTCTGTCACACATCAAGAGTTACCGATATTTACTGGTAATAACATACAAAACTATATAAAAAATCACAGTCCTATGCTTGATGAGGTAAACATAAAGTCCATGCACAGTCAGTGCTGGGTAGAAACTGTTTACTTGTAATCTGGATTACGTAATCAGATTCCAAAAATGATGTACTTGTAATTAGAGTATATTACATTTTAAAATGCTCATAATCAGATTACAGTTAAATTTGTATTGATTACATGATTACATATTAATCACACAAAGGCAGTAAACTATTTAAATTATTATTTAATAATTTATTGATTCTGTTTATTAATTATCTTTTCATCCCCCCCTTAAATTCCTACTGTGTCATACCATAGCTTTGACTATATTCACAAATGTAGTATACATACATTTGCAAACCATGCTTCTGAATTTGAAGGAAAATATAATATTGATTTATTTATAATATTTATTTTTTTATTAAAATAAAATACTAACTTTAATATTTCACATAAATTAACAACACATTTGCATCTTTACAGTTCACTAATGTTGGTTAATGGTCACATTGACATGCAGGTGAAATATATTTTTTGTGTACAATTATTTTTATTTTCTTTTTAATTGTATCTTTATTTATACAGTATGGCCTCAAGTGCCTTATTATATTCATAATACATTTATTAACGGTGCAAATTATTATTTAAACATTATTTTATAAAGCAAGTTCTTTCAGTGGCATCCTACCAGTAGAAGATATAATCCCTGACATAACAGAATTTTGTTATGGAACAAAAATTATGATGCGCTACAGTACGTGTGCTGCGCAGTGATACGGAGAACAGGTGTTTTAAGTCATAGATCTTAATATATTGAGGCAGGTAGAATGTCTGGAATGCTATATTGACCAATCAGAAGCCAGGACTGGAACTATTTATAAACTATTATTAGACTAGTACCATCTGGCCTATTGAACCCATTCTAATCTTTATAGAACCATTTTGACTCTTTTAAAACAATTTTCATCTTATATGATATATTATTATTGTTTACAACTCAGTCATTCTGTAACAGGCATGTGTAGGCACGTGCATCTTCTCCTCTCTCTCTTCCTCTTTCTGTTGTGCTGTCTTGCTGTTCGGCCCATTGAGTTTAAAAGCTGTTTAGTATTTTGGGCTTTCACACTGCACAGTCATATCGATCATTATTTCACTGCCTGGGTGATGCTTATCATCACAGTACGGCATTCATCAGAGATTCAAAGCATAACAGAGACATATGATCATTTCATTACTGGCACGCTCTTCTTTTCTTGTTCCTGGAGTCAGAGACAGAAATATACTTGAAGAATGCAGTCTGCTTACTTAGAATTGCAAAACGATTAGACCAAATCCAGAACAGACTGAGCCGGACAGAATCTGCAGCAGAAGTTCAGAGTGTTCTGTATGGTTCTGCTTCAGAGCGCTCAGACGTCAGTCTCTCACCCCTCAGGGCTGCAGTTTGTTCCTCAGACTAGCCGTCTCTTCCTGCCCCATCAGCACAAAGCAAAGCTGCTCCTGGCACCGGAGGTCACTGGAGACCCCATCAGGGAGGACCCTAATGTCCTGCCGAGATATGCTGACTGGGACAAAGCCGACGGTGCAGCAATATAACTATGGTTAGATGAATGCACAGAATCACAGTGGCTCATTGTGCCTGAATGCAGAGTAAAATTAAGGAATATGGTGTTCTAAAATTATCTTGTAAGTTGTACAATAAAAGTTTGTGCATATGAGTGTTTTTGGATCTCTTTAGTTCTCTGTTAGTGTTCAGTAGAAGATGCTTATTGTAGGTGTGTGTGTATGGGATGTATACATTGTCACAAGAGCTAAATTTAAGTAATTATAACATTTTTGCAATAGTTTTATATTTTGACTTTTAGTTCGAAATCATACTAAATTAGAATATTTAGTATAATTACAATGATGTGAGGAAAAGAAGTGAGCTTAATTTTATTGAATGTGGACTCGTAGTACTTTGTACTTCAAATCTTAACTGCTATGTACTTACATTTAAATTAGTTTAAATGAATTGGATTCAATGCACTTATTGTGTACATACATGTTTTTACAGTGTACTTATATTTAAAAAACAAATACCTGCATGTAATTACATCTGTAATTCCATTTATAATTACACTATTGAACCATCCCTTACACCTTAAGCCACCCTTAAACCTACCCAGACCACCAAACCTGTCCCTAACCTTACCCCTATCCCACCTCAATGGCAGCAAAAGTGTTTTGCAATACAGTATGAACACAATAACTACATTGTACTTATTTTTTTTCATGTAATTACATAATGTCACTTAATATAAAGTGGGACCAAAGGAACACATCTATTTTGATGAGTTGACTAACAATATAGTATAAAATGCAAAGCAATAACATAACATGTAATGTACTTGATTATAATTTTAACTGTAATGTGTTATTCAATATTGCACTGAAGGTTAATATATTTTAAATGTACTAAATTACAACATCATTAAAATGTTTAATTACAAAAATATTTAAATACATGACACAAGTTTCTATAGAATTCACATTAAAGTATATTTTAGTTCATCATAAATGCTCGTCAGCAGTACATTATAACTATATTTCAAATATAAATATAAACTAAAACACATTTTCATTTAATTCAAAACATGCCACTAATTGTCCGAACATTACATGATTACTATTTCCATACACATTAATACTGTATCTTACATTTATTATTTCCACAATCTTCTATATTCTCTTTAAAAAAAATGCTTACTTATTTTTCACATCGTAAAGTTGTACCATCATATTTTTGTAGTAATTGATGTGAGGACGTGTAAAGTGTATTGAATTATAGTTTAATTCATGAATTTACATTATTAGTTTTATTTTGGTCAGAGCATTAGATTGACATTTTTATATGCGTCATTTTGCGTTTGGGGTTTTGCGTTTCATAATTGTTTTACTATGAACATTTTTGTGGGAAACCTATAATTTTATGTAATTTTGATGTCGTAAAATTTGATAAATTCCATTGTGACAGCTTACTTTATACTATGTGGCAACATGCCTGATACATGTGTTCAGTGAGCTGTGTCTTTTTTCCCAAGCAATATCAGACTATCAAGACTGTAAGGTATGTGCCTGTCCAGAAATTAATTTTCATGAATAAAACTACATTGATACAGTACATATTCACTGAAGTAAAATATGAGACAGCTAGCCGCAGTTTTCAATGTATCTTAAGAAGGTTTGAAGCTGCGCATGTTGTTGTTGTGCGTGAGCATGTGACGTACGTATGTGTGTGCGTGTGTGTGTGTCCTGACCAGCCGGTGCCTGTGCTCTGGCTCGGGTCACAGCAGAGGTATTAGTGTGTGTGTGTGTGTGTGTGTGTGTACCAGCAGCACTGCTCCGCTCCGGCTGGGGTCACAGCAGAGGTTGTTTGGAAGGTTTGATTTGTCAGTAGATAAATGATAGCCCCACATCTGGGAGAGTTTGGCAAATAAATAACACGCGATGGCTCATTCATCATCGGCTTCCCTCCAATCTGCCAACAGAAGGAGGGGGAGAATAAATTCTTATTATAACCTTGGGGAAGCACAACACATATTGTTGAGTGAGGCGGCCGTGAATTCCAGGGGAGAATGCTGTTCTTTGTCAAGTGCAGCACATAATAAAAACCAGACGATAGTCGCGTCCTTAAGTCAGGCTGTGTGCTTGATGTACGGCAGAGGCCGTTTGTATTGTGACAGACGTGCTGTCACTGGAGCGTGTTGAACCGCTTCCTCTTAACACACGGGGAAGATTCCTCCCACCTCACCCAAATGTGTCCACAGAACACGGATTCACTCCTGGGAAGCAATTGGACGGAAATGATCCAACAGAACTGAAAAGATGTGCTTATTTATAACGGTTTGCTTTCAGTTGCCATGCCATTGTATTACTGCAGGACAAAGATATTCAATTAGGATGTCACACACCATGCTATTACAATTAATTACAATAGTTATAACAAGCATGGAATACTGTAATTACACATTAATTATGGGAGACCGGAGACAATAGTAATGTTTTTTCTCATTTTCCGTCATAACTCACAGACTGCTTTCGATCTGTCATCTTTTAGAAAAAGGTATGTGTGAGCAGTAATACAGAAGAAAGAGTAACAGTACTTAGACATCTGTAATATTTTACAGCTTGATTATAATTTGATTTGTGAATGTTAAATAACTAAATGTCTAACATGGGAATATTGTATCAAAGTTTAAGAGCAAAACAAAGAACAACAATTGTTACAGACAAAAATTAAAACATAAAAACAAAATTGTGCTAACTTTTCAATAAGATATTAACAGTGAAAAATACTACACAATTATACTGACCAACCCTTATGCTTTTGTAGCACATAAAAAAGCCACTACATCTAAATCAAGTGCACAATGAAAGCAATCATTGTTATTGCTTTAATAATTATTAATATTTAAAAAAGATTTTTTTTTTACACTGAATGGATTTCTTTTAGCTGTCTGGAATACTTTGAGTCTAACGTGTTTTATGAAGCTACAAGAATACTTTTTGTGCGCGATTGCATCGTGGTACTCTTGTGAACACGTGTTGAAGACTGATAAGGAAGAGAAGAAATTGTTGAATAAAGTTGTTATTTTTGCTTTCTATGCGCACAAAAAGTATTCTCGTAGCTTTATAAAATTACGGTTGAACCACTGAAGTCACATGGACTATTTTAACAATGCCCTTAACTTTCTTGGCCTTGAACGTGTCAGTTGCGTTGCTGTCTATGCAGGGTCAGAGAGCTCTCGGATTTCATCAAAAATATCTTAATATGTGTTCCAAAGATGAATGAAGGTCTTACAGGTTGGGAATGCCATGGGGGTGATTAATAATTAATGACAGAATTGTCATTTTTTGGTGAGCTAAGCACCTCTTCTCATAATCCATATAGTTTGAGGTATCATCACAAATTGTGGTAAAACAAACACCACTAATTACCTAATTTCCTCTAACTATTGCAGAACTGTGATTTTTGATTATTAATGTATATTCTGATGTGGATTAACACTACATAACAGACTGCTGTGCTTTGCTGATCCTAATAGGACACTTTATTCATTATATTAGAGCAGATGAGATGTATCTGGCTCTCCTGAAACTGCTCTTAAATTTTCCAGGCTTTCCGGTCCATGACAGACTGTCAAGAGCAACCTGGACTGAGGTGTCAGACAGCAAGCAAGAGAACAGACCTTTTACAGGAGCTTATTTCTGGTGAAATCTGTCTAAATGAACCAACATCTAGCCTATTAGAACCATAGGACCTCCATTATTCCCAAAATCTGACATCATACACAATTTAACAGTCATATAAACAGATAATCAAGTATAAAAACTTGGACTGCTCTTCCATTTATACTGACCCTCATGTTGTTCCAAACCCATGTGACTTTCTTTCTTCCGTGGGACACCAAAGTTGGAATTATGAAGAATATTCACATTGTTTTCTTACAATATAATTTTGCAACGGCATGAAAGCGAATGGATTGTTCATTTATTTTAGGTCTGTCAATCGCTAAATTTTTTACTTATGGGCCCTCGTGGAATCAAGGGTCACACGGGTCATAAAGGAGACCAGGTGTGCTTATTGTTCATTGTAATAAGCATAACACAGAAATGTGTTATTGCCCGTTGTGTGTGTATGATCATGTATTTTTCTTATTTTAGGGCCTGATGGGTCTCGTTGGTCCCAAAGGAAGTGAGGTAAATTAGAAAGTACTCAGTGACCGTTTCGATTACTGCTGCTTCCTGCACTTGTATTAGTACCGTGTAATTTTTTTCTCTCTCATCACTCTACAGGGAGATCCAGGTGTTGCAGGAGAACCAGGCATAAATGGTGATCAGGTTCGCAATATTTATTCAAAATTGGGTCAAAGGGTTAGAATAGAAATTGTGCTTCAGTAATTTTGCGTTAAATTATTTTAACGCGTTAAGGATTGTAAAATTAATCGTACACGTTAACGATGACAGCCCTACTTTATTTAGTTTTTTTTTTTGAGTTGCTTTATATCATTTTACTAGAAACAATAATCGTTAAATAGTAATTTAATCATGTAGTTGCTTGAAGCAGTAAACATTATATACTGATAAATGCAATACTGTATTAGTCTTTTAGAGCAAACATTAGAGTCTTTATGTGAATTCATGTGTTTACACTCTCTGCATGTGGAATACCTGGGAAATAAATGCTGTAAACTCATGTTCCAAAGCATTCCACATAAAAAAAGAGATAGGGTTTCCTTTGGTCTAACTCATAAAGTCTATCACATGTACACTTTGTCTAATTGCTCAACTAAGAGATGCAAGTGAAATCTAATAAATTTTGCCCTCCGCACATCACAGCCTGAGCGTATGTAACAAGCAGCCAATTATAAAGCAGTGAAATGTGATGTGCTGTTCTCACCAGGCTCTGGCTTTAATCAAGAATCATTTAATTAAGCAGCTAACACACTTAAGTCAATACTGCTGAGCAGAAGACGGCAAGACGGGAAGGAAGAAACATCGTATAATTGCATAATTGTAGATAGTATTTCTAAAAATGTCTGCTAAGTATGTTGACTGTCAAATAAACTGACTTCAAGAGATAAAAAGTCTAATCATGTAGGAGTTCAGCGCTCAGGCAATTGTTATAATTGTTTTTTTTTCATGGAATTTATAGTAACCCATTTATATAAATAGTCAAACTAATTTAAAAAGTAAACATTTCACAATCAGACATTGGTAATGAGCAAGATCTAATTTAAAATAAATGGTGCTCAAGCAGCCTGAATCTTATTTAGGGAAGCAACAAAAACAATGAGGAACACTTTCTCCTGGGAAAGAGATGTAAAACAGTGCACTCATTCCTTTAAAACAATGTTTTTCTCCAGGTATCACACGTTTGAGAGGATGGCTGAAGGTGTTTGTGTGCTACAGAAAAGCACACAATCTTTAACACTGCAACAGCACAATTCTGAGGTGTGAAATTTTCTTGACAGTTACCTGGTCTATATTGTTATCTGATCCTTTGCGCAATGAAGTGACATAATTGGGATTGCCTTGTTACACCTGCTGCACTCAAGATGGTTAAGCAAGTTCATGAAAAAAATCATCTGTTCTGATAGGTGTAAAACAGAAATAAAACTATAAAATTGCAAGTGGAAATTCACTGACCCCTTAAGGATCAAATCTTTCTTTAGCTTTCAAGTTAAATCATTTAACCCTGATGTTGTGTTTAGATTGCTTTTACTGCCTTTATGGTTGGAATCTCAAAGACCTTAGGTTATGTGTAAAAATAAATATGCATAGTAAATTTAAATGTAACCTCTTATTTTCACATCAAATCATTTTAATATGCTTCACTGATCACATCTGATCACATTATTGAAACTTTAACACTGATATGCTCTATTACAAATGCTAGAAACATAAGTCAAATACTATAACACAAAGCTAATAAATAGAATACTGGCAAGGGTTTACATATAATGCATAAATGGGTCTCAAAGAATCTGAAACAGAAGTAATTTAAGATTTATCATGGTGGACCTGTGATTGTTATCAAGTTAAAATGTGGTTTATAATCAGCTTTCATAAGATTAAAGCATCTGTATGTAGTTTAGTTTAAATAATATGATTTGTACAGAAGCTGAAATAACTGGAATCTAATGACACTACACTCTAAAAAATGCTGGGTTAAATACAACCCAGTGCTGGGTAAAATAGGGACAAACCCAGCAATTGGATTGTTTTGACCCAGCGGTTGGTTTAAATGTTTAACCCAACCTTCTAGGTAGTAACCCAACCGCTGGGTCAAAACATCACAATTGCTGGGTTTGTCCTTATTTTACCCAGCACTGGGTTGTATTTAACCCAGCATTTTTTAGAGTGTAGAAGTTTTGTACATTCAAATTACCGTACAAATGGCCACACACGCTCTTGCCTTAAAAATAAGTTGGATAGGCTAATCTTCAACATACTTGCAATTCACATTAGCTTGGATTGATATATATTCGCATACACACAATAATGCTGTTTTAAAAGAGAAATCACAGACAATTTTGCCACAGGTTGGATGTAGTTTATGGCACTATTCATTCATTTCAATGGCATCAGCAAGTAGTGATTGACTGTTGCACACATAACTTTGTTTCTTTCTTTCTTTCTTTCTTTCTTTTTTGAGATATTAAAGGGACAGCTCACTCTGTCATAATCTTTTATTTTTTTACTTTGCATTTGTAGTACTGTGAATGTTATGGAAGCCCGTTTCTGCCACTGAATAAAAAAATGTAAAAGGTAATTGCGACATTTATCTCACAATTCTGAATTTTCTCAGAATTGTGATATATAAACTCACAATTGCAAGATATAAAGTCAGAATAGTGGGATTAAAATCAATTGCAAGAAAGAAAGTCAAAATTGCAAGATATAAACTCGTAATTCTGACTTTTTTCTTGCAATTATGACTTTTTTCTCTCGCAAATGTGAGTTCATATCTTGCAAGTTTTTTTTGTCTTGCAATTATGACTTTTTTCTTAGAATGACGAGTTTAAAACTGGAAAAATTTTGAGTTTTTTCTTGCAATTGTGAGTTTATATCACGCAATACAGACTTTAACTTGCAATTGTGAGTTTGTATCAAACAATTATGAGAAAAAAAGTCTGACAATTGCGAGATATAAACTAGCAATTTTTCTCAAAATTGTTAATTGATATAACTGAGATTATATAAACTCTCAATTGCGAGTATGCATCTTGCAATTCAAAGATAAAACTCACAAATACCTTTTATTTCTTTTTTTTTTAATTCAGTGGCGGAAACAGGCTTCCATATGATGTTCCTCAGTTGTATGCTACTTTGAATAAAAGCATATGCGGAATAATTAAATGCAATATTGATTTTTTTTTTCTTTATGAAGCTGGTCCCCATCCACTGTCATTTTATGGAAGAGAGCAGCTCAGACATTCAGTTAAACATCTTTTGCACTCCACAGAAGAAACTCATACAGGTGTGGAACGACATGAGGGTGAGTAAATGATGACAGAATGATCTTTCTTGGGTGATCTATCCCTTTATCTGTCAGACCCCAAAATAATATAACAAAGGATTGAAGTCAATGAGACAGAATATGTCTCAAACTGACTAATTTGCTTTTATAGTTTGTAACAAATTGCAAGAGCTCAAAAATTGCTCATAACTACCACATTTCTGAATCCTAAAGAGAAACAAAATCAGTTTTTGCTCATGTTTTAAATTTACCTCGCCATTGAAACTGTCAATTAGCAAATGCTCAGATCAAGAAACAATCACTCAGGAAACTATTACACCTTTCACCTCTAAAACGGTCCCTTGGTAATGAGGGACTCCGACTTATAAATTTGCACCTGTAACCTGAAGACATGTAGCCATAGTGTCTGAAAAATTACCTTGATTGTGCACAGCGCCATGGAAATTTATCTTTGCAATGGTTTTATTGCATGGTTACCTTAGGCAATTAAATCAATACATCTTAACTGTCAAGGAGGTGGCTCAGTGCCAGGAAGAAATGAAAAGCTCATATTAAGTAAATAAAAGTCTTTTTGACATAATTTGGAGCATTATTTAATGGGAGGAACCCATGGCTAAAAATATTAAATAATGGTGTATTTTATTAGGCACATTATTATATTAAAGGTGTATTATCTTATGGCTTCCCCGCACACGAAGAGGCTAATAAATTAATAAGACATGTCTGAGCATGCACATTTTCCCAGTGATGAATAAATAAGAGGGCATTATATTCAAGCAGAATGCTGTTATGAGGCCCAGTAACCACAGTCTAATTTAAATGAAAATATGTAATGTATATATATGTTCTCTAGAATTTAGTTTATGAGAGAAATACATGCAATACATTCAAATGTTCTCCTCCTACATTTGGTGAACACCAACAAAGCCATCTCTTTTTCAGTTCACTGCGTCTGTCCTGGGAAACATATTTCTATTTACTGGGGTGGTTTAAGGTTAATGTGGTCAGCTGTCATATCCAATAGTATTTCATGTCTCATACAGTACAACATGACAAATAAAAAGGTGTTCAATTTCACCATTTAAAATTAATTTCCATGCAATTCATCTCCCATTGTGCGTTCCTTCCACTTACAATGATGCTTTGCTAACGCATGTCTCGTTTATTCAGAAGATGAGGAGGTTTCTGTGACATTTATGACCATTTAAGAGATGGGAAACTCAAATTCAGTCATATTAGGTCAGAAATTCTTTGAAACTTTTTTTTTTTTTTTTGAATTTGGCTCATACCATTTTTATTCATCATTTTTATACAGACATTAAACATTTAAAAACAACATAACTACATCTCAGTTTTGTTCATTACGTTTGACAGTTTTATTATAAAATAAACATACAATAGCCAAAAAGAAAAAAAAAAGAATAATAAAAAATCGCTGGACTTGTGCAACACATCGGAAATACAAAGCTAACCAGGCAGGAAGGTTTTTGATACATAACGCATTTTAAAATGAATTCGTACAACTATACAATGTATAAATTCAAAGCACTGCAGGTTACCTGCTCTGTACAAAAAAAAGAAACGAAACAAAAACCTAAATTCTACAGCATGCCAGAACATTGAAATTTTCTGTCATTGCAAGTAATGTGTACAACTTTGCCAACAGCCAGCACCTTCGTAAGATAAAGGCCCTTTACTTGAAGTAGAAATCCTGCTCTTTCTTGGCGTCAAACCAACATACTTTTAGGCAATAGGTAGCATTGAGGCATTTCTATAAAGCGCAAGTTTCACAGAACTGCTTTCTGATAGGTTTAAATATGTCTACAACATATAACAATACTGACGCCTTTGAAATCGAGTATTAATTAAACGCAACTTTGATTATGACAGTTACTTGGTAGAAAGAGTCATGCTGCATTAAAACTCGTAAGAAATTTGTTTTTCTTTGCCATTAAGTTTTTTTTTTCTCCACATAAATCAGTTTGCATATTTTATCAAAATGAAACCTTGAAACTTTCCTTAAATAACAGTATGATGGTTGCATTTCTGAAACCACTAGGAAAGGAAATGCTATCATTTCCCATAAGGCTCATTCGAGATGAACTGCTCTTTGGGACATTGCTCCAATTTCAGTTTTAGATTTTGCCAGTAGTGACCCAGACAAGCTCTGGCATATTCATCTTTCTATGCCACCAATACACTAAAATACATTGCCTTTCATTTGGTTACTTCAATGGCTTCTAACAATCCACCCTAAGTAAGTATTGCCTTGTTGTGTAAATACCTTTCTTCTGTGAGAAACCCATTGTAGTGTTACCCATTTGTACACCCTGATTCAATAAGATTCTCCAGTTGGTGATTTAACTGAAAATGTAGAACATAGCAGAAAGGCAGACTCAAATGACATGGAAGCAATGAGAGATGTTGCATATCTTGATGGATTCAAAGCTGTGGATGGGTTTCAGGGTCAAATGCAACACCTTGATGTAATTACAATCTCAAGAAGACAAATCATGGTGCACAACCTTATACTGTACAGAGAAAGACAAACGGACAGAACAAGACTGTAAATAACTGTTCTTTGATTCTCTACAGTTTACATTAGTATAACAAGGCATTTGCAACAAGGTATTTAAAAAAGAAACCTCTGATGAAGTTAGAAACTGACTTTGTAATGCGTTCGTTTAAATACAATTACATTTTTATGGTCCATAGGCAATAAATGGAATCAGTAAACTTGTGTTATAGCAAAATATTCATACGTTCGAATCAGAGAAGTGCTCAAGTTGAATACAAATCAAGGCTTTTCGATGTATTTTGTTTATAAGCGCCACCGTCAGTTCTTTAAACGTACCATGGTACATGCCACCTGTTAATCAGCATGGGAATTGGAAGATCTTTAATTGACGACATGATGTGGTATTTTACGGTAACGAAGAGCTATTTGCATGTTTAATTTGCAGAGCAAATAGAAAGCCTCCAGCTGAGCCTGCTTTAATTGGAGATTGTTCTTCCTGATAGGCTTTTTCATCGATGTAGAGCTCATTCAGAGGCACAAAGAATCAAAGCGATCTCATGCTACCTCAGAAAGACGCGGGGTAATTGCTAATACGTTGTCATTATTTAAAGAGTAAACACTTTCAAGCTTTGTTAAAGCACAGGTCTGAATTGTTCGGCAGCAAATGTAAATGCTAAATGATAAAATCAAACAGCATAGTTGTGTTTGTGCACCTTTTTAACTGATATAGTCAATACATTTCTCAGATAGTTTCAAATGTTTGTTTCAAATTAGTATAATACAGTGAGGTCCTAAAATAAATTAAATATTACCAAGGTCAATATAAGCAACATCATATATATTAAATTCCTTGCAAAATATATTGTGTGTATTATGTGTCCGATGATTTTTGTGGCACTTTTATGGACATCCTTGCTAATTTAGGCTCTATACCATACATTTGGTCAATTAATGTGATTTTTGATCGCAATAAAACTGTATGTATAGATATTCAGACCATTATTCATCATGCAATTTTCTAAAAACCACAACATTTTCATTATAGTATAGAATACATGATTGCAATAAATATTTATTTGCTCTGGTTTAGTCAGGATTTGTTCAATGCCCCTATTTAAAAAATTTTAAATAAATAAATAAAATAAATAAATAAATAAAGAGATATTTGTATAATTATAATTTAATATTCAAATAAGAAGTGCATTATATCTCTGTAAACTATTATATCGGCAATGTTTCCACCTACTATTAATCAAACTGAAAAGAAATATAAACTCCTCGAAACATCTGTGGAATTTTTCTCATTATTACATTGTAATAACTAATTTGTAACAATGTAATAAATCAAAAAGACCATTTTTCTAAACCAAGCCTGAACAGGTACTAGCTACGAGTATTGGACCAAATTTATTTCCCCACTTGCTTTATTCCCAATTCAGGAAGAGCATATAAAGCAAGCAACAAGCTCCAGAAAGAATACAACTGTTGTTTTCATTGAAAGACAAACTGGGGGCATTAGAGGTGCATCTAATAGGCAGAGCAGGTTGTTTACTTCACTGCTAGAGTGAGTCAGTGCTGCTGGTTTCTGACGAACTGCCAGAGGGCCACAGATTTCTTTGCCAGACTGGCATAACTCAAACAAGCACAGCAACAGATGCGACAGAAACCACACACATTTTAGAAACCCACTCTATACAAGTAAGAAAACAGCTGGTAATATTGTTCATGGGAAGGAGAATTTCACTATTTGCATATTGATACTTTTGCCTTGCATCAAAGGAAGTCCATGAAGTAAATAAAGGCTTCCAACAAAAACTTACTTTTGCTCGGTAATTAATTTTGTTGTAAGACGTTTTGTATACTTTATCCTGATGTATTGCTCTTCGTGTGCTACAGTGAGTATTGCACTATAAACCATTATTGGACAGTAAGCATTTCTCGCTACGTCATGTGAAAATTGCCCAGAAAACATCCGCGAAGGAGGTAATGGGCAACGTATATGATGTAATTTACTGTATATTAAGCTGTACAATATGTAAAATAATTCAAATGCACTTAGACGTCATTCACTTTTAAGTCATTTTCTATCATCATCAGAGCAGAAAATTTAAATCTGAAATGTACTTGAACATTAAAGCGAAAAACAGGTATCACAACCGCCACTTTTACAAAGAAAATAAATAAATAATCATGTTATGAAAACAGAAAAATTGGATATACCAATATGGTATGGAAAATCATTCAGATCCATTGTCATCCTTAAATATAGACTCTAATAAATTTCCATTGGATACACAGGCACTTTTGAATAATCTTAGTGAAATGTCTATTTCACCCATACATCCCGTCTCTCGCTCACATTCTGACATTCACGTGATAGACTGACAGATATATGAAGATTTACAACACAATGAACACACCCTGCCAATGAAAATCTGCTGCCCACACACACACACACACACACACACACACACACACTCTCTCAAATACCTACATTTATGAACAGACCAGCAAGAAGAAACAGTTTGTATCTCACTGATAGGTTATCAACAATTCCACATCATATTTAACATTAAATTCATCAGTAAAGAGTTTATGCATGGAAAATTAACATTTGATTAAAAAAGGTTTGTGATTGGATCACGATGCAATTATTTAGGCCGCAGAATTCTGACCTTGCTTGTTTGGGAGTGTCTCTGGAGATAGCAAAATGTAATTTAATAAAGTACAAGCATTAATAAACTCTCTATAGATATCAACTTAATGTTAAATGTTATCAAGCCAGCCCTAAAGATGCTGGATTCAACCGAAAAAACTGGACAAAACACATTGATTCTTTATAGTGCTCATGAAATACGCTGATGTCTCTCAGTTCTACCTCTACCTCTCTGCATTAACATGCAAGATTGAACAAACACCGAACAGTTAAAGTAGCTGTCATATACAACACAGTCATTATGGTACATATTGGAAAGAAATCTTTAAGATTCTCTGATACCCCCTTCAGAAGATATCAATCTGTCATATGTGCATATGTATAAGTTAATTGCACAGGGAAATCTCCCATCAGCCATTGACGTTGTGAACACAAGACGTGAAGTCTGTCTCAGAGAACGCGGCTTTGGAGCGCATCCAACGAGCCTATCATACTGCTCACACTGACGCCAGCTGTCACGGTGCCACAGTAAAATAGACAGACGGTGATGTTTGAGAGAATAGATGACTACCGTACCCATCCCTTACAGTCATCACAAAAGCCTCGACAGATAAGCATGATTTCAAATGGACACGTGTGAATCTCCAGATGGGGTGAATATATGCGTTTGAGATGAATGCAGTGTTAACAGCTCATTTATCTGTACTCTAATTCCTGTGTATCTCAATCTCGCAGTGGTAAGGCTTGAAATATACCCTACGCAAGTACATGAACAGCAGCTATATGAATTGGATCCATGTGTCGTGTTCTGAAAGCTGTCAGAGCGCAATTCATAATTCAACAGCCAGTGTGTGTATTCTCAGCAATGCCACAAGCGGTGCTATAGCGGCTATTAGAGTAAACCAAACATGTCCAGTCCTGTTCCAGAGCATTCCAGCAGAAGGAATGGAAACTTCTCTCATGGTTTAACTAAGAACATCAGTTGATGATCATCTAGTAAAGGAAGTACACAAGTTTCACAATTTGAGTTGAATTACTGAAATAAATGAACTTTTCCATAACATTCTAATTTATTGAGATGCACCTGTAAATACTTCCTTTAGCAGCAGCAGCTCTTAAAGTAATGGCAGCCAAAACAGCCTAATAACCAGCTGCTGTGATGTCTGTTAATCAAAAAAAAAAAAGAAAAAAGAGAAAATCAATAACTTTTATATCTTTAAAGATTCATCTATATTTAATTTAGAATTTATTGTTTGATAAATTCAATTAAATTTTTTGTATATTTCTGCTGCAGGGCACAGGTAAATATGACATTTATTATAATGGGTTTATGTGAATATTGTTTTAAGTTCCCTTAAATTGGAAGTTATTTTTTTTAAGTCTAATAAATGTTAAATTTGATAGCGCTCAATTATACTGTAATGTTGAATGGCTATAGTCAATGGTTAAATATTAGCGGGAAAAACAATTTTATAGAGACATCAGTAGTATTGGTATCAGTGATACTGGCCTTCAGTCATAAAAAAAGACGCCATTAAACAAATATTAAAAATATACTGTCTTTATGTTGTTTGTACATTAATTTGAAGATTTAATGTGAAACTATTGAAATATAAAAGTATATTTAAAAGATTATGTTAGGTGGGATTAATTGCAATTAATTTCAGAAAAAAAAAAATGTTTTAATAGATTGACAGCACTAAAATATATGCATGATCATTTAAAAGTGTGGGGTTGGTAAGATTTTTTTTTTAATTTTTTTTTTACTATCTTATGTTCACCAAGGCTACATTTATTTGCTCAAAAATACAGTAAATACTGTAATATTCTGGAATATTATTACAATTTAAAATAATTGTTTTCTATTTTTATATATTTTAATATGTCATTTTAAATTTTAATTTCTGTGATGGTAAAGTTGAATCTCCAGCATCATTAAAAAAAGTTGTGCTGCTTCATATTTTTGTTGAAACCATGACATACATACCTATATATATTAGGATCTTTTGATCATTTTAAATAATTTTGAAAAAAAAAATTCAAAACAGGAAATATCAATCTTTTGTAACATTATAAATGTCTTTATTGTGACTTTCGATCAATTTAATGTGTCCTTGCGGAATAAAAGTATTAAACAGTATTTTAAAAAAAGCATTAAAAAGTAAAAAAACACCCCAAAAACTTGAGGTTTTCTTTTAAAGAATTTAATTCTTATGATACGGCTTTTTTCATTATTAAATCAAGACAATTGTCTCACCCTGACATATCTGACTTAAAGCTTTAAAATTAATTTTGATTAAAACATGCCCCTTCAAGTACGAATTGTATTTTTAATCTATTTTGTGAGTAAATTAATATAGGACCAAAACTTAATGTCATTGACCCACAGACATTTGAAGTTAACTCTATCGCCACTTATGTGCCACACAAAGTATCACACTTTAATAATGTTCATGTGTATTTTGCACTTGCAATATGTTGTTCAAGCATTCATACCTATCTTGACGTACTTGCGTAAAGTGTGTTTCTGGCCTCTCCTGCCTTACAAAGCAAATTAAATTTGCCTGGCCCACATCACGGAGGTCACTAGCTGAATTTTTCTTCAACAACATTGTTAACTTGCCCTCTGCTACCATGTTCTTGTAACAGATGCATAAATTTGGCCTCCTGTAGTGCTGTGATGCGATGCAGCAGCGCTCCGTCCTTCCAGGTCCACCTTCTACAACATCTCGAGACTTTCCTGATGCACTGGAACGAGGACATGGCACCCTCCAGGGAATAATTCACAGTTCTGAGGCTCGCTAGTGGTTAACTGCCGACTTCCCTCAGGGTTCCGGAGGGTTGTAGATGGCAAAGATGGTGGAGGTAGTGATGAACGGTGGGGAAGAGAGTGAGAGAGAGAGAAAGACAGAGAAAAAGGAAGAGCACAGTGGAAGCGCCAGCACTATAACAAATGGGCCTCCAGCCGAAGCCAGTGCAATCCTTGGCGTATGTAGCGCACCAGTTCTGTCATGCTGCTGTGCTGCGTCAACGGTTCCATCACTGAGTCCAGCTCCAGAAAGAACTCTGTCAGAACAGAGAGAGACACACAGAGCGATTGGCAACATGGGACCAACATTGTTTTTTACATATGACTATAGTAAATTATATATAACAGGTGATGCTAACCTTTTTGAGATTGAGTGCCACTGACAGTAAAAACCAACAATAAAGCAGATGCAACTTTCTGGCAGACTAACTACAACATCTTGACCCCAAAATGGGTCCATTGACAGCATTCAAAAGTAGTTATGTATTCAGAGAAAATACAGTTGTTTAAAAACAACACATACATTGCAAATCATAAAAAAAGATCATGTTTTGCCAGTGATTGTATTTTAGAGTGATCTAAAAAGTGGAAAATAG